TAGGACATAATACCTGTCACCTACAATTTAAAGTATCAAAGGTTTATTTTAGGTCACAGTTTGTGCAAGTTTCAGTCGATGGCTCCATGAATGGCAGGATGGTAGAAGTACATTGTACTCTGGAAGCAGAGAGATCAAAGCATGAGAAGGGAAGCCAGAGACCATGTCTCCATACCCTAGTGACCCACCTCAGCCAAGCAGGCTTTATCTCCCAGTATCATATTCAGAAACAATATCATCAGTGGGTCAATTCACTGGTGCACATCAAGTCTCCACGATGCAGTCACCTGTAAGTTGCTCCAACTACGGGTGCATCAGGCTTTGTGAGGGTCATCCAGATATAAACTGTGACAAATACTAACTAGCCTTCTTTGCTCCTAAGCATAGTTGTCTGCACTTTGCTTTGCTCTTCTTCTGTCATCCATGAACACTCAGTCGGCACTTGATACCACTCAACCTCAGGATAGATGATGGAAGTTAAAGTTTGCTAATTTGCTCTATAAAAAAAAACCTAGAATATAAATAAATTAGTAAAGTAAAGAAAAATGACAGAAAAAAGAAAGTTAATGTGTTGGAAATGGGTAAGGGAATTCGTGGAGGGGAACAGTCAAGAGTGAATCAATTGGAACTGGTGAAGATGTGATATATACTTGTGCTACTAATTCACCAAGGAGAACTTCACTGATCTGCACTAAAAACACACATTAAAGAAACTGAGCATTGTCATTCATCTCTTTCTGGAGAATTATACACATCTGCTCCACAAGGGAATACAAATGTTAGGAAAGGTTAGGAAGATACAGGGACAACGTGGTTTGCCTATTTATTTATTTATTTATTTTATAATAGGCATCAATTAATTAAATTCATACTGAGTATGGAACTCAGGACCTTATACATACAGGCAGGCTCTGTGCCCCTGAGCTTTATTCCTGGCCCTAACAAATATTTATTGGAAGGGAAAAAGAAATTTATTCTGAATTTCAGAGGGGTATTTTTCTTAAAATTATATCAGCTTGTATTTTACTCTTTTTATCTTCCTTACTGTTACATGTATTGAAATGTGCAATGTCACGGAAACAATGTTTTAGCTATAAACAATGTAAACAGGTGATTGCACTTAGAAGGAAGCTTACAAATTTTAATAGATTAACTCTCAAACGTGTTCGAACTAAAACTTTTAGGCTCCCGATGCATTCTCTATCTTTATGTTTCTATACACATACCATATATGTTACATTTACATATAGAAGGAAATATTAATGATGATAAGCACTCCAATTTAGGTATAGCAATTAAAATATTTGCTTTTCTTTAAATATAAAAA